AAAGTTAAGAGTAGTCACACAGATGTCAAATGCTGCTAAGAGGAATATTAAGCAGAGCCTTGGAATTCACCATAGGATTAAAGGAGTTAGTATATAGTTATGGAATATTGACCACATATTCAAGATTTTAATGAGTTGAGACACATTAAGGAAAAGGAAACAGGGAGTAAAAAATGTTCCTGAAATATTTATTTTTAAAAGATGAAGGAGATATGTCGTAGAAGCAGAGAGTGGATTGAATTGAAAGTGAAGACAGACTGATTTTAAGAAGGCAACTGGCATTTATAATACTACTTATATACTGACATTTATAATAAATACTATTTATACTACTTATAAATGAGACTGAAAGTGAGTGTAGGTCAGTAATAATTGGAATATCAATTATAATGTTTAACAAACCCTTAAGCTTCTTCAAAGCCAGCAGGAGAATTTCCAGTTGGCTAAGGCAGAGTCTTATATAAAGTAACATAATTGTGGGAGCAAGTATCCTATCATCCTTACCATACAATGTAGCTTAATCACAGGAGTGACATCCATCATTGTAAAATGGGACCAGTAGCAGTAGCAGCGTCAGAACCTAACTTCAAGGGGGTTAATGTGAATCAAGATCAGCCCAAAGCTGATTTCCATGAGGTGGAAGTCAGACATACCTCCACCTTCCAAACGTTTTACCAATTCTGATACCAGCCGTCCCTCCCATGGCACTCTCTACTTCTAGGTTTGAAAATCCATTGCAATGGCCACACTGAACTCACAGACAATACTTACACTTAAGTGGTTTATTAAGGAAGTAACAGGGTACCACTCAGGATCAGGATCAACAGATTACAACTCAGGATCTGGATCAGGAAGCATGTAGGCAAAGTCTCCCTTCTTCATTGCAGGATGGCTCTCTCAGCTTCTCTTGACCGTGCAGGCTTCCTGTCAGCCCTCTAAGAACAGGCCTCCTCTCAGGCCCCTGAGGACAGGCTCCTCTTGGCCTGCCGTCTGTCATCACCAACTCTGCCACAAGGCCTCTTCTGGGCCTCTCACTATCTCCAGCATTACAGCTCTTTTAAGAGGTTCCTTGCCTCCTCTCACTCTGCTTCTTTCCTCTTCTCTCTTCTTTCTTCCTTCTGCTTGTTTTCCTGCTTCTTTCTGTCTGACAAACCTCTGTGGGGCTGGATGCTTATATCTACAACTCTTCATCAGTTTCAAGGCATGGCCTCCCAACAAGGCCACGGACTGACCAATCCCTTCTTGGTAGGCCACAGACACTTCATTTGCATAGTAGGCTACAGATACTTCATTTGCATGGTCTATAGCCACTTCATTTGCATAGTTTATTGGCCAGTCCCTACAAGGTGCATACAATCACAGGGCAGGGTGAAGCCCAGGACCAGACAAAAAGTATCAATACCAAGTTGTTTACATCTTACCCAGGAAATGTCAATCAACCTGGACAAAAGTAACAAACCCTCTGGTAAAGCAACTAAGGCAAGGTAACTCCTCAGGGTTTAGGGGAAAAAAATCTCTCAAATCATTTTCCCAAACGCAAAGGGTGACAAAAAGATACTCATTTCACCACAATCATATTCACAGGCCCACACTCAAGGAGAGGGAATTATACAGGGTGTGTACACCAGCGGGTGAGACTCTTGGGCACCATCTTGGAATTCTGCCTACCACAGTGGGTAACCAGTTTTGCTAAGAAACATCTGCCCATGAAGACCCATGCTCTTCCCTTCCTTGTTTACTTGATATGTGAAACAAGGCAGTCCAGCTTCTCCACATGGACATCCATATACAGTTTGTAGTGTATTATCAGTTAAACAAATACTAGAGTATGAACCATGCTGGCTTCTAATGACCAGAGGGCCTCACCAGAATCCTCAATGGATTCCGGAAGCATGGAGGAGTGATGAGTGGAACCTGACTCCCCCACTCTCTAGGTGTTATGAATTAAGTTACCCAAAAAGAAGTTTGTAAATACTAACCCCCCAAAACTATGCCTTGAGATAATCTTTAAATCTTAAATCTTAAACCAAAAATGTCTCTTGAAGTCTTAAAACCAAACAATAGTTTAGCTTAACTAGTAAAGAATGTCTACCTTGAGTATTGTGTTCTTTTAACATCTATCTATATGGGATCAAATTGACAATAGCAACTCAGAGGGTTATATAGGAAATTTGGGGGGCAGTGAGTTTATGTTAATGGGGGAGGAACAACTCAGAAAAGGAGGGTGAGAATGGTTGCACAACTCAAATAATGTAATCAGTGTCACTGAATTGTACATGTAGAAACTACTGAATTGGTGTATTTTCTCAACAACATAAAATAAAATATTTTAAAAAAATACCCCTATGCCTGTGGATGTAGTTCCATTTGGGAACAGGGCTTTCTTTGTTATGTTAATAGGTCATATCAGTGAATGGTATATCTTAAATCAATCACTTTTGAGATATAAAAGAAGCAGATTAGGTACAGAAGCAAGAAAGCACAAATGGAGAAAGGCTGATGCCACGTAGAGATCACCAAGGAACCGAGAAAGAGGAGCTAAGAGACAAGGACCTTTCCCCAGAGCAGACAGAGAGAGCCTTCCCCTAGAGTCTGTGCCCTGAATTGGGACTTCTAGCCTCCTAAACTGTGAGAAAATAAATTTCGGTTCACTAAAGCCACCCATTTGTATTTCTATTAATAACTGTTGCTGTTGTGTGCCGTTGAGTCGATTCTGACTCATAGCGATCCTATGGGACAGAGTAGAATTGCCCTCTAGGGTTTCCAAGGCTATAATGTTTATGCCACATCTTCCTCCCATGGCGTGACTGGTGGGTTCAAACTGCCAACCTTTGGGTTAGCAACTGAGGGCTTAACTGCTGCACCACCAGGGCTCCTTTCTGTTACAGCAGCACTAAGAAACTAAGATTCTCGGCCTTTACCTGATTTCTAACCCTGGGATATAATTGCTGTGAGAATTATCAGTGGTGGACTAGATTTCCCCCTGCTTTCTATGGTGCCCCCAGCTCCCAGGAAAGTTTTAAATTTGGGGACATAACCAGATGGCACAGGCAGGGAGATTTTCTTAGAGCTGGTACCTACCTTCAAACACGTTACACCCACTCTAGGTAATCCAGAAGCCATAACATTTGTTGAGAAATAATTCAAACTTGCTCTGCCATGTTGTCTATCACATGCTGGCATATGAAAAATGCTCCACAAATATTTGTGGAATAGCAATTTTTTTAAAAACAGTCTTACATGTTAGTGCCTCCCTGAATTAAAATTTTGTCTCAGAAGGGCTGGGCATGGCTCTTACTTGAGGGGATAGAACTGTAGTGAAGGCCGCCGAAGGACCAGCTAGTCTCTGGGAGCTGGGAGCCACTGCAGCCCTCTGGCTGCTACTTTGCCCTGTTGCCAGCAGGTACTGTAAGACACATGTAACTCCATCCTGACTGCACTACCTGGGTAGGATTATTCTGTTGACTAGAAGGTTCTTTGACTGTCCCAATTTCTAATATACAGTCCCACTCTCCCCTTGTCACACCATATGTCTTAATTTTTAAATTTAGGAAAGATGGAAACGGAAAAGAAGGGTCAGGAGAACTGGGTTCTGGCTCCAGTTCATCTTCAAGTTAGACTAAGTATTTTTTTAACAGCTTAATTGAGATATAATTCACATACTACAAAATTCACTCTTTTAAAGTGTATAATAGAGTGATTTTTATTATATTCACAAAATGTGCAACCATCACCACTATCACCCCAAAAAGAAATCCCATTAGCAGTCACTTCCATTTCTCCCCTCCTCCCAGTCCCTGAAACCACAAATCTACTCTCTGTCTCTGCCTATTCTGGGTATTTTATGTAGGTGGACTCATATACTATTTGGCCTTTTGTGTCTAGCTTTTTTCATTTAACATAATGTTTTCAGTATTCATCCATGTAGTAGTAAGTATCAATACTTCATCCTTTTTTATTGCTGAATAATATTACATTGTATGGATAGACCACATTTTGTTTGATGGACATTTAGGTTGTTGCCACTTTTGACTATTGTGAACATGCTGCTATTAACATACATGTACAAGTTTTTGTGTGTACATGTGTTTTCAGTTCTCTTGGGTGTTTAACTATGAGGGGAATCGCTGGGTCATGTAGTAACTCTATATTTAACTTTTGTCAGATTGTTTTCCAAAACTATACCATTTAGATAAATCTTGTCTTTTCTGTATTACCACAGCTCTTGGCCCAAAAAATCCTGTTGCTATTGAGTCAATTCCAACTCATGGACACCCCATGTGTTACAGAGTGCAACTGAGCTCTATAGGATTTTCTTGGCTGTAATCTTTCAGAAAGTAGATCACTAGGCCTTTCTTCTGCAGAGTGGAGGGATGGGTTCAAACTGCAAATCTTTAGGTTAGTAGTCCAGTACAAACTGATGGTGCCACCCAGGAACCTCAGCTCTTGGCAGGTCCCAGCTTATAACACTCGATACATCTGGCTATGTTTTATAGCTCCTAGTCTGAAGTCCTATTTTCCTCACTAGGTCCCAGGTGCTTAAAGGCCTGGATGACTAAGTCTTAATCTGGTGTCATATTTATTCTGACATCCTCAGTTTCCTCATAAGGAAAATGGAAATAAACTACTGGAATGGATAGATAATATCACTGGAAAGTTTTGTTTAATGAAAAGTGTTTCCTTAGCATGGTCTGGGATACTACTCAAAGAAATTACTTGCATTTCTGGGCAGAAGCAAGAAAAGAAATTCCATTACATATTTGGATTTATTTATTTTCTAATTGAGTTATAGTTATTCATGAACTATGAGAACTAAGAAGCGAGAATTGCTATATAATATAAATTTATTTTCTGTTATAAGCTTCTGGATTTCTTTCTTTAGAGTGCTCTTCTGCCGGGTTCTCTGAGGGTAAGTCATGTTAAAGTTCTCAGTCATTTCTCATCCCTATAATTGTGTTCTCCACACTGTCTAGCATGTCCTGCATCTCTTTAATTTGCTTTCACAAATGTTCCGTTTTTGCATGGTGTGTGGCACTCTGTATTTTCCTTTCCTTTGTTAACTTTTGCTTTTCACTCAACCTCTTCTTTTCAATAATTTTCCTCCTTTTTGATTTAATAACTGAAATGTAGAACATAATGTTATGGAGATACTAAGAAACAAGAAATAGAAATGGAGATAGAAAGGGTGAGGGGAAAATATGGGGAAAATAAAGGCACAAACTGGAATTTGACAGGTGTTAATGAATGTTATTTGTCAACAAGGATGGTGAAACTTCAATTTTAAAATTATCTTCGCACCTTCTGTACTCAGACTTGGATGTCATAGTTATTTTGGCATCCTCAGTTTCCTCATAAGGAAAATGGACATAAGCATAAAAATGTAGAAAAATGATAATCAATGCAATGAAAAGACATTCTATCGGGTACAATAAGGGCCATCTGCCTCAGTAAGCAAAAATAATCTCTTCTACCCTTGGCCTCTCCTCCTCTTTCTACCTATGCCTTAAGTTGCCAGAGAGGAAATCCCTGCAGGAGAAACTTAATATGATGGAATCAGACACGGAACTTTATATGTGCTTTTGTTCTAGAATTTTCTAAACAGGTATCTAAGAATATCGCAGCTCTTCTACCAAATCAGGTTTATATTAGCGTATGCATTGCCCTCTGCTCACAAGAAAATGCAGAATACATCCATGAAGGGCATCTCTCAGATACACGGTCTTTCACCTGGAGGTAGTAACTTCTGAGAATGTGTGGGCCTGGATCCTGTTTCCACATCAGATTGAGGCAGTAGGTGTAGGTGGAAGATATGCCTATCTGTCTTCTAAATGCAGACACCAAAAATAAACTCGTTACTGTCAAGTCAATTCCGACCCATGGCGACCCCATGTGTTACAGAGTAGAACTGCTCCATAGGGTTTCTTGGCTGCAATCTTTATGGAAGCAGATTACCAGGCCTTTTTTCTATGGCACCACTGGTTGTGTTCAAACCACCAACCTTTAGGTTAGTAGCGAGTGGAGTGCCAAATATTTGAGCCACCCAGGGACCCTTAACACGGGAACAATGCCACATTAATAAATATGTTTAAGGGAAATGTTTTGTCCAGAAAAAAGTTTGTTTCCTGAATTCTGTTTCAGGTTCTTGGAATTGCCTTGAAGAAGGCACCAAGCAACCTCATAGCTGTTTGTCCTTCTGTATAATTGGATTAAAATGATTTCCTTTCTGTAGTAGTGGCCGTAAATACTAATCTTTCTTACCCTGAACTCCATTAATTCCCACTTAGTTTTGCCTTTGAAAAGCAAACCGTCATTGCCAGCTTAGCTTTCATGTGACTTTGGATATGACAAGTTAAACTGGTATATCCTCTACCTGAATGAATGAACTTTTCTAGTTCCTTCTCATTCTCCGGAAGCAAGTAAGTGGACTCATCCTGGCCCTCGTCCTCGGAGCCCTCTTCTTCATCTTCTAATGATGGTATCCTGACATTTTTATAAAGCAACACAAGTTGTTGTCTTTCCTCTGCCTGGACCAGTCGGCTGGAGAGTAGTATAGATGAATTTAGGTACACAATTTTCATAGTAAATCATCACGTCTTAATCATGTGACCTTTTGATTGGAAAGGAGTCACTTGTACAAGGTGGTAGGTGGGGGCAGAAATAGACTTTTAAACCAAAGTAATCATAGTTCTCAAATGTCTGTGTGGACAGGCAGGAGAGGAGCAGCTCTAATAATTCCCAAGAGTAGATCAGAGCCAGGACTAGAGTGAAGCACTTGTCTCAAGCACAAGATTTAAGAGGTTTCAAAAAAAAAAAAAAGCTAGATAAATAATATATATTTTTTAATATCTTACTATGTTTCCAGTGAAGATTCATGTAGCAGTTTAGGTTCCCATTAAGCAATTTCTACACAAGTTGTTCAGTGACATTGATTACATTCTTTACAATATATGAACGTTCTCGTTATTTCCATTCTGGTTGTTATGTTTCCTTTAATCTAGTTTCCCCACCCCCTTACATTCTCATCTTTGTTTTAAAGTAATTGTTGACCATTTGATAGATAAATAATATTTTAATGCAATAGTGTAAAGAATTAAAATCAATGCCAAGAAATTCATGATGAACAAAATATCAACATTTTAAATAAAGATAGGATCAGTATTATTGATTTCTCCTTTTGCTCAGGTTCCATTGTGGTTTGACCAGTACGGTTATTGATCCTGTATTTAAAATATTGACATTTTCTTTATTGTGGATTTTTATGGGTATTCATCTAGATTTTTTAAAATATTATTTTTCTTGGGGGCAGTGAGTTTATGTTAACGTGGTAGAGTAATTTGGAAGCGGATAGTGAGAATGGTTGTACAACTTCAAGAATATAATCAATATCATTGAATTATACATGTAGAAATTGTTGAATTGATGTGTTTTATTGTTTATATGCTTACCACAATAAAAAATAGAGTTAAAAAATAAATAAAATATTATCTATCTTGATTACTAAGTTTTTTGGCACCCCCTTAAATTTTGCACCTGAGGCAAATGCCTTTGTCACCTCATCCTAGATCCAACCCTGGAATGGATCATGAACAGCTCTTTGACGTGGAAATGGATAAGAGAGTGTTTTGCTTTTTCCTGACATACTTACCTTCCTAATTCTGTTTGAATTATGTAATAAAAGTAATCTTAGGGTTAGCTTATTTGTGTTCCAAGGAGTAGTATGAGGAAAGGGTGTGGTAGGAGCACTCAAGAGAGTGGGCAGCAGAATAATTGCCCTGGTCGTCAACATTGTTAAAGATAGTCAAGAAATCAGGTCAGGGCCAGGATTTCATTGAGGAGAGTGAGGGACTGGCCTCAGGTGCAAATTTTAAGGGGGGGGGTGCCAAAAAACTCAGTAACGAACATAAATATTTTAAAGCAATATTTTTAAAAATGGAAACAAATGTAAAAAATCTATGATTAACCAAACATCAAGTTTCTAAATAAAGACAGGATCCAACAATGCCAGGATGAACCATTGGAGCCTGAGTCAAAAGGAAAAACTGTGAGTCCCTATATGCATGCTTTTATGTATTTTTAAATGTTATGCTTTTCTAAAACATTATAGTTGGGTTTTTTTTTAATTGAGAAGTGGTGCATTAGAACTAATTTAAGTTTAAATATTTTATTTATACCAGAAACATGAATTATTATAATTTTGCTTCCCTAGTTTAAATGAAAGCATTTTCAAAATCTGCTTCTGAAAAAATTAACCATTGGAAAATATGTTAACACATGTGCTTTGGAGCACGTGTTTTTCCTTTTCCTCAGGCTGTCGTATAGCTTGGCAAGGCACTGAACTGGGTAACTCAAATGTGAGAACTGTAAGAGTTGATGTTTTCAGCAACTTATGTGAGCACTGAAAGCCCAGAAGTATACATTTTAGTGAGTTATCTTAGAAAACTTTATATTTATTAAGATCTTTGTCTGGACTAATAAAATAAACAAAAATTGCCTTTACGTTTACATAAACGGAGTCCATGTAGATCACCACGTTAGATAACCCAGGACCAAACATACAATTGACATTCTCTCATTAGCAAAATTTCTTTCATTTTGCTTTTAATTTCATTTTGCCTTCATTTGCCAGTCTGACTCATGGTGGTCCCATGCATTACAGAGAACTGCGCTCCATAGGGTTTTCATAGCGCAGGAAGAAGATCGCCAGGTCTTATCTTCTGAGGCACCTTTACTACCCTACCTACCCGTTGCTGTTAAGTGAATTCTGTAGGACAGAGTAGAACTGTCTCATTGGGTTTCAAAGGAGCGGCTGGTGGACTTGAACCGCTGACCTATCAGTTGGCAGCTGAGCTCTTAACCATTGCGCCACCAGAGCCCTGAGGCGCCTCTGGGTGGGTTCAAACCAAGGCTTTGAACCGGTTCATTCCGGTTCCAACCCCTACTGAAAATTTGCATTTCTAGCAAGTTCCCAGATGACGGTAATACAGCTGGTTAGGGACCAATTTTGAGAACCACTAGTAGAGCAGTGGTTCTCAAAAGTTATTATACATAAGAATCACCTGCGGATCTTGTTAAACTGTAGCTTCTGATTCAGTATATCTAGGGTGGAAATGCAGATTTTCATCAGGGGTTCAAATCACCAACCTTTTGGTTGTTAGTCAAATGATTAACCATTTGCACTACCCAGTAACTCCTCATTTGCTTTTATTTGACCTATTTCAAGGTTGTCCTAAAATGGCTACCTTAAAACATGTGCCTTACATGATTTGTTCATACTTAATTCTAGTAGAACAAATAATTGTGTACTTCCTCAAGCTGTTCATGATGGACTATAACGGAATCCTGGAATTGAATGCTAGAACAGGAATCACATTGTGTTGGTTCTGGTCAGAGTTGCATGATGCCACAATGTGGCTCACTTTGGTCTAATACTAATTTCAAAATGATAATATCACTTGAAAGAACTTGAGCTTGACCACAAGCTTTATTTGTGCGAACAGTGTGAAGTGTCTTCCCCGAAAGCTAGTATTCCACAGACTGCATTGACAGTAAGTCAATTGCAAGTTTCTAGGGAGCCCTAGTGGAGAAGTGGTTAAGAGCTTGGCCGCTAACTAAAAAGCTGGCAGTTCAAATCCACCAGCTGTTCCTTGGAAACCCTGTGGGGCTGTTCTACTCTATCCTATAGGGTCTCTATGAGTTGGAATCGACTCAACGGCAACGGGTTTGGTTTTTTGGTTTCAGTGATAACTAGAAATTGTCTAGTGAGAACTAAGGTGCGCCTGACTCAAGTCATGGTCTTTTCAATTGCCTTATATGCATTCAAAAGCTAGACAATGAATAAAGAATACCAAAGGATTGATACCTTTGAATTATGGTGTTGGTCAAGAATATTGAATATACAATGGATTGCCAGAAGAACAAACAAATCTATCTTGGAAGAAGTACAGCCAGAATGCTTCTTAGAGGCAAGGATGGTGAGACTTTGTCTCAAGTACTTTGGACATATTATCAGGATGGATCGGTCCCTGGAGAAGGACATCATGTTTGGTAAAGTAGAGGGTCAGTGAAAAAGAGGAAGACCTTCAATGAGATGGATTGACACAGTGGCTGCAACAATGGGCTAAAACAGCAATGATTGTGAGGATGGGGCGGGACCAGGCAGTGTCTCGTTCTGTTGTATGTAAGGTCTCTATGAGTTGGAACCAACTCAACAGCACCCAACAACAGTGGAAAAGAGAGTAGTTGTTCTTTTCTGCTTTGCACTGTTAAGATTTCATATAGAGTATTGAATTCATTTTAAAACACCACATTTTTGAAGGGACACTGGGAGGATTCTAGTATCTCAAACACTGACTTTCAAACATTTTTGACCATGACCCATGGTAAGAAATAGCTTTACATCACAATCACACACAGGCGTGAGTGTGTGTGTGTGTGTGTGAAAAGTCTAAAAATCAGTACTTTACTATATTCAGTGCTTTCTGATACTTTCTATTCTCCTAAATTGTATTGTTCTTTTTCATAGATATCAAGACCTAACTCATGAAATGTATAATGACTACAATAATTTAATGATTATAATAATTATCCTCATTATTATCATTATCATCCTTTGACACTAAATAATAGCCTGGTTAATTTGTTATATCTTCCATAAGGATAGTAGATATTACCTAGCACATACTTACTGTATTACACAGAAGACAGCGATCCCACCTAGCAGAGCGATGCTGATGGCTATGCACGCAGCTACAATGACTCGAACAAGAGCAGGTCTATGTGGAATTAGGGCTAATTATGGAAGGAAAAGAAGTTCTCATAAGATTTGTGTTTTAGCTGTGTCAATCAGTTAATTTACTTGTTAATCATTATTATTCCCAAGGGGAATGGGAGACAAGAGCAGAAATAATTAAATATATATATATACCAAACTCATTGCCATTGAGTTGATTCCAACTCATTGTGACTCTATAGGACAGAGTAGAATTGTCCCATAGGGTTTGCAAGGAGTGGCTAGTGGATCCAAACTGCCGACCTTTTTGGTTAGCAGCCATAGCTCTTAACTACTGTGCCACCAGGGCTCAAAAAAAGAAAAAATATATATATGTATATATAAAAACCAAACAAACCAAACCCGTTGTCGTCGAGTCAATTCCAACTCATAACTGCCCCATAGGGTTTCCAAGGGGCGGCTGGCGAATTCGAACTGCCGAACTTTTGGTTGGCAGCCGTAGTTCTTAACCACTGTCCCACCAGAGCTCCTATATGTATATATCACACTGGTGTGAGTGTGTGTGTGTGTTTGTGTGTGTGTGTGTGTGAAAAGTCTAAAAAATCAGTATTTAATATATGCAATGCTTTCTGATATTTTCTATTCTTCTAAATTGTATTCTGTTCTTAATTTGTTTTTAATTAAAAAAAAAACTGAGGCTAGATTTTACAGTCTATGTGAACAAATATAACTTGAATTCCCACCTAATCCCTAGCTCTCTTTTCTCATCCATCACCTGTCCTTGGTCAAGGCCTCTAGAGATACTGGATCCCTGAGTCACCATAGTAACACCTGCCCTCTATGTAGCTAAAATGAGAGTGGCCTTCGTTCTATGACTCAGGGTTTACCCTGGTTGCCTCAGGGTGTGTGGTACTGTAGTGATACGATATTGCAGGAGTTCCATGAACCGGTGTCCCAAAACCAAAAAAAAAAAAAAAAAAACCAGTTGCCGTTGAGTTGATTCTGATTCCTGGCAACCTTATGTGCTCCAGAGGATTTCCACGGCTGTGACCTTTTTGGAAGCAGAACCCCAGGCCTTTCTTCCGAGGAGCCTGTAGGTGAGTTTGAACCACCAACCTTTTGGTTAGTAGCTGAGCGCTTAACGGTTTGCACCGCCCAAGGATTCCTAACCTGTATCCCAGCTGTCGGATCTTAGGTCTACAGAATGTGCTATAAAGCCATGGTTGTTCATTGTCTGCTCGGGTTTATTGTCCTCCATCATATGATCTGAAATTTAAGAAAAAATAACCAGAGTTATTGTTTGTACAAATTGAAAAAAAGAGCAACAGGTAAAGTACCTACATTACTCAGTCACTTTTAAAATCTGACGAATTGAGGTGATTACCTCCTGACCTACCATCCCTTGCTGTCTGCCCCTTCATTGGTACTGGATAAGGGGTTCAGTCGACTTAATTGAAAATGCCCTGAGGTTCACCCCTCAGAAGAAAGTCAGCCAGGCTGATGAAAAGAACCTGGACTATGAAAAAGGAAGGAGCTTAAAATGCTTAATTGTAGACTTTAAATGAGGAGGGGGATAACAATTTGTTATGATACATTTGATCACTTTCAACATGATAGCTGAAAACTGGAATTATGGGGTGGTTTCAATATGCATTTTTCTTATTATGAGTGAGGTAACCACCTATCTATATGATCAAGAGCTAAGGGTTACAGGACAAAATTGGAGTCTGACAAAATTGGAGTCTTCCAAACTAGTCTGTAGGACTAATAGTTTACATGAACTATGGCCTCATCTACCCTGAGACCAGAACTAGATGATACCCAGCTACCACTACCAACCACTGTGATCAGGGCCACAATAGATGGATCCTGATAGAATGGGAGAAAAATGTAGACCAGAACATCAAATTCTTAAAAAATCCAGACCTTCTGGAATGGTTGAGACTGGAGGACTCCCTGAGACTACTATCCGGAGATACTCTTTAAACTTTGAACTGAAACTAGCCCCTGAGGTCATCTTTTAGCTAAATAACAGATTGGCACACAAAATAAAGAATATCACTCGTGAGTTCTGTGCTTCTTTAAAAAAAATCATCCATATGAGACCAAACGGTCAACAATTACTTTAAAACCAAGATAAGAAGGTAAGGGGGCAGGGAAACTAGATTACTGGAAATGGAACAACCAGAACAGAAATAATGAGAATGTTCACACATTGTGAAGAATGTAACAATGTCACTGAACAATTTGTGTAGAAATTGTTGAATGGGAACCTAAACTACTGTGTAAACAAATGTCCTAGTCATCTAGTGCTGCCATAACAGAAATACCACAAGTGGATGGCTTTAACGAAGAGTTTATTCTCTCACAGTCTAGTAGGCTAGAAGTCCAAATTCAGCCTTCCAGCTCCAGGGGAAGGTTTTCTGTCTCTGCTGGCTCTGGAGGCAGGTCCTTGTCATCACTCTTCCCTTGGTCTGGGAGCATCTCAGCACAAGAACCTCAGGTCCAAAGGATGCACTCTGCTCCTGGCACAGCTTTCTTGGTGGTATGAGGGCCCCCTGTCTCTCTGCTCATTTCTCTCTTTTATATCTCAAAAGAGATTGGCTTAAGCCATTATCTAATCTTGTAGATCTCAATATAACTCCACTAATCCATCTTATTACATCATAGTGATAGGATTTACAACACATAGGGAAATCACATCAGATGACAAAATTGTAGACAATCATACAATACTGGGAATCGTGACCTAGTCAAGTTGACAGATATTTTGGGGGGACACAATTCAATCCATGACACAAACCTTCACCAAAAACACAATAAAATATTTTTTTAAGAAAATCGGAGTCTTCCAGACAGCTGATTAGACAAATGATTCTCCCATCTCCATGTGGAAACCTACACTTGGGACCCAAAGCTCGGGGTGGCAGAGGTCTCAATGAACCTCCAGTGCAAGCTCATAAAACAAGTTAGTGTCAGTTAAGGACTACAATCCAGGCCTTCTAACACCCTGGCCAGGACTTAAGCTCTGCTTTGGTAGTGGTGGGTGAATGGGCAAGTGAAGTGTTCACAGCTGAGCTTTAGGAAGATGAGCAATGTGTTTGGCATGGATGAGGATGGGTGAAGAGTTGAGGCTGACTCATAGCAGATGCTTAGCAAATGCACAAAGGAGAAGGAAGTTTCCTTTGGGTGGGAGGAGGAGCCAGATAAAGTGGTCTTCTGGATCAGAAGACTCCTAATCAAGTGGTCTTGAGGGCATTCCAGGAGAAAAAGCCAAAAGAGAGGAGAAGCTGCTAGAAAGACTGCCCACAGGGCTGCTGTGTATAGCAGTGAATTTTATGTACTGCACAAAGGGATCTCAAATTTAGCCTGTGCTTTGCTGGCTAAAATGTGAGCCCACGGAGCTGTGCTGTTTTCTAATCTGCCCCAAGTGGCGTCATTACTAATTCAACTGTCCAGAGGGGTTGCCTTTTTCTAATTTGCAGAAAGTGCTGAATAGGGTAGTGGAGGATCCCTGGTGGCACAGTGGTTAAGGCCTGGGCTGCTAACCAAAAGGTCAGACATCCAAATCCACCAGCTGCTCCGTGGGAGAAGACACCTGGTGATCTGTTCCTGTAAAGATTTTAGCCTAGGAAACCCTATAGGGCAGTTCCACTCTGTCCTATAGGGTCACTGTGCGTCAGAATTGACCCTTCAGCAATGAATACCAGGTATATTGTGCAGGTAGCATTTCCCTTGTATGGAATTGAGATTGTTTACAAATGCCACATATCTTCCCAAAGGGTTCCTGTGTTTTGTGATAGAGTTCCCTCTAGCATGCAAATTAAAAAGCAAAACTTAGAAGCCACATGGCTATAAAGAAAGCTTTATGCTTGCAAAGTTTCTGTGTCTGGACTCGTATTCTCTACCGCTGAAACATGTGCTTCAAATGACAGTGAATGACAGTGAAAGTCATACAGTCGCATTCAGATGATCTGGATCGGGTCAAGGTTTTTGCCTGTGCTAACAAAAGTGAAATGACAGAAAAGCAACAGCAATCCCTAAAGAGGAAGTGCAGCTTTACAGAGAGGGAAGAGTATAGTGTTTCATTTCCAAGCAAATGCTAATCTAATTCTTACAACTGATGAACCATGCTGCTAACAAATGCCCAAGCAAAGACACATTCACACAGCAGATAAAAGAACCACAGAGTAGAATTCTCATTTCACTGAATGTAAATAATACTCATTTACCTGTGTGTCTTGAAGACTTTAATTGAGTCGGATGTACTTGAGTTCCATGCAATGAGAAGACATTGGGATGGATGATGCCATTTCTAGATGTTTGTGACAGTTTATTGCCTTGAAAAGAAAACTTGTAGCAGTGAAATGTACTTTCTCCTTAGGACCAGGTTTTTACTTCCCCTGAACCAACTAAAACCAGTGGATGAAGGTATACCCTTTAAGCCTGACACCTTCCAGCTAGTTTGAACTCACCTGCATAAGGCAAGCATAAATGAAGTGGGCATTCCATTAAAAACAGAAACAAAAAAGTGAAAGAATTCTGAACTTTGTTCATTATCATCATGTGGATGAAAGGAAATTTTGAGCTGTAGTCCAGGCATCTGCCTTATATTTATCTGAGGAACTAGGAGGCTCTGCTCCCTACAGAATCTTTGAGTTCTGAATTGGAGCTACCAGTGTGAGGTCAGCTCACATTGTCATGATGGAATTCCTTAATGGAATCAAGCCAGCCAATGGGGAGACTAGCAGAATGAGGGTGTGTGTCTAGAGTAAAGCTAGGCTTATATGAATGAGACCAGGTCCCTGCTGTCAGTGAGTGTACAGATTAGTGAGAAGGCAGAGAGAATTTGATTATAATTCCATGTGACACATCAAGAGAAGCAAATGGAAAAGGCAGCAGAGTGTATGAGGGGTGTACTCGGTAGCCAAAATGACTAGATTCTAATTCTGACCTTTCACTTCTTAAGTGTGAGCTTGATCAAGTTATGCAACCTCTCAGAGCTTCAGTTTCCTCATTTGTAAAATGGTAGGAAGAAATAGTCTCTGCCTCACAGGGTTACAGTGATGGTTAAATAATGCAACCAATGTAAAGCTCAAAAAAAAGTGTTGGCACTGAATAAATGTTAGTTCTTGTTATTATAAGGGATAATATCAATATCTGCAGTAAAGCAACTCAATATACCTCCAAACTCTGGGGCACTGTTCAGAAAATAGAATGTTGAGAATATTGTAGTCCAGTGGATTCTTAACTTGGCTGTGAATCTGTGTTCATTTTCTATTACTGTGTAGCAAATTATCACAACTTTAGCCACTTAAAACACGCTCATTTATAGCCTCACATTTTCTGTAGCTCAGAAGCCTGTGTGCAGCATAGTTTGGTTCTCTGCCCACAATCTCACAAGGCTGGAATCAAGGCTGAGGCTGTGGTTACATATGAGCTGCATCCTCTTCCAGGTCATTCCAGTTGTTTGAAGAATTCTGCTTCTAGCAGATACAGGACTGAGTTACCTATTTTTGGCTCTTGGCCAGGGATTACTCTCAGCAACTAGAGGCTGCCTTCAGGTTCTAGCTATGAGGCCTTCTGCTTAGGCAGTTCACAGCATGGTTGATTCCTTATTCAAGACCAGCAGAATTCCTCTCAAGCTTTGAATCTCTCTCTCTCTCTTTTTCCCAGGAAGGGCCCAGTCCTTGCTAAGGACTCACCTGATTAGGTCAGTCCCACCCAAGGTGATCTCCTTTTTGATTAACTCAGAGTCAACTGATTTAGAACCTTAATTACATCACTTTGTCATATTATGAAACATAATCACAGGAGTGAAATACATCATATTCACAAGTCTCTCACACTTGAAGGAAGTGGATTATACAGGATGTGTACACTGGAGGCCAGAAATCTTAGAAGCCATCGTGGAATTCTGCCTAGCACAGCATCTACAGCCCTTAGGGAACTTTCACAAAATACAAATTCACAGGCCTCAACCTAAAATACCTACTGATTCAGTATCTCTGGAGTAAATCTTAGATATCCGAGTTTTAAAATAATTTTCCCAGATGACTCTGATGTCTCAGCAGCTTTGGAAATTGATATGGTCTGTTCCCCTTGTGTGATAAGGAAGTTCTTATAATAATCTTTTGAATGACCTATTTACTTCTTCCATTTCATCCTTGAAAGTGCTTCCCTTATTCCTGAGGAAGGCTCCCCTTTGTGGTTGTTTCCATGTACTAAGATAGATTATGCAATTACTTTCCTCTACTCTGTCCAGCTGGGCCACAACTCCCCGCTCCAGCTCACCCCTCTCCAGAACCTAGAACCAGTCTGGCCCCCAAAAAGGGAACTGGAAGGGCCTGTGTACCTATACTCAGTACTCCCAGCCTTGCTACAATCCTACTCTGACCATGTTGTTGCTAGTTGCTGAGAAGTTGATTCCAGCTCATGGCAACCCTGTATATGCAGACTAGAACTGCTCCATTGAGCTTTCAAGGCAGTGACCTTTTTGAAGCAGATCACCAGGCCTTACTTTTGAGGCACCTCTGGGTGGATTTGAACCACCAATCATTCAGTTAGTAGTCCAACACTTAACCAACTGTGCTACCAGGGACTCCACTCTGACCATAAACCCTAGTTATTTTAATTGAGCTCACACCTTACTCCTCGTGCCAGAAACAGACTCTCTCATCTTTGTTCACTACCCTCAGGGGGAGGGTTTTGTCTCTTTCCCAAAAGTTTCTTTAACTGGAGCCCTACCTCTGAACTGAAGTATGTGTGGCAGATGTTGTCATCTACTCAGCCCTTCATAGACTTGCTTTCTTCCAAATGCCTGATCTCTCAGCTCTTTAAGTCACTGAAGTCTGGCCTCCACTTCCATCATGCCACTCACTGCCCTGACTTCTTTGAGCATCCCTGTCCCTAATGTAATATTTAGGGATAATATTAATACCCATACCTCATTCAGGTGTTGTAAGATTAAGCAAGAATATTATCTTTTTAAATGTTTTTGTTGTTGTTAGTTGCCATTGAGTCAATTCCAACTCATAGCAAGGACTCCCTGGATGGCACAGTTAAATACTGAAAGGTTAAGTTAAGCTGTCTTGGACAGAAAAACTTGAATGCTGTTTCAAGTTAAAACAGAAAGGTTTATTAAGGGTTTAAAACAATCACAATTGGGGAACTATATAGCCAATTGAAAATAGAACCAGGTAATCTTGGAGCGGTTTCGTTATACAAGTATTCTTATGGGGTAAAAGGAGGAACCAAACCATAGGGAAGGCAACTACAGGAAAATCAATGAATATTGTAACAATCACACTCTGATTGGTTACTGATTATTAATAGTACAGTTAGTGACTGCAGGTAGTTTCACAGGATGCTTAGATCATGGTCCCAAGATGCTTACATATATTTTGTCTGTCTTGCAAAAATATCTTTTTGGCAACAGCATTCAGACAGCACTCTTCCTGAGATGTGTATTTTAAGGATGCAGATGGTCACTTGGTTAAGACCCCTCAGGACATATGGTTTCACGTCTTGGTTTTGACCACCAAGGAAAAACACGTTTTTCTAAAAAACATAGCTGTTAGTCTAGAAATCCAGATTAAAATTAGATAGCATGGTCAGCATTTTATGCCTCCATTTCATTGACTGCACTGAAAGTTTTCTTTTCCTGAGACAGCTGAAAGGTTAGGGGTTTGAATCACCCAGAGGCATGTGGGAAGACAGGCCTGGTGATCTGCTTCCGAAAGGTCACAGCTTTGAAAACTATGGAGCAGTTCCATTCTAACATACATGGGGTTGCCATGAGTTTTTTTTAAATAACATTGTTTAAGTATCTGAGAAGTTGTTGATGTTATTCAATGAGCCATGCTCAAGTCCATCTGCTTCTCTTGTCAGGCCCATTCCGAAGCCTATGCAGGCAGGAGCAAAGAAAATTGTGAAAGACTTTAAAATCAGTGGGTGACTTAGTAGCTCGGCTATGCAGTTTACCTCAGTCTTTGTTCTTCTTTCACTCCTTAGAGATAAAAATTAATGTGCAGAACTTTGACAGTAAAGTAACTAATGCCTGTCCATAGAAATGCAGATTGTGGCTGGTGGCATGCATTTGATTATTGCCCTACCTATACTGGACTGGTTTTGCATTCATTTCATCATTCTTCATTTGAGTTGTATTTTCTCTTCTGAATCAGTTGTAATATCTTGCTGATTCCATTTCTATGTTGTTTACACAAGTCCACACTACAAGAACACATTATTATGCCTCTGGTCAGTTTTTTTTGTTTTATTTTTGTGATAAATATATATATCAATAAAAATATACTGTTTCAAACAGTCTTAAATGTACAATTCTGTGACATTAATCACATTTCACCGTGCTGTGCAACCATCACCACTGTCCATTTCCAAAAATATTTTTATCACCCCAGACAGAATCCCAGCACTCCTTAAGCAATAACTCCCCAACCCTCCCTCCCCTCATCCCTTGGTAACCACTGATAAACTTTTGTCTCTGTGCGTTTCCTGTTCTCAATATTTTACAGGAAAATCAATGAATATTGTAATAATCACACTCTGGTTACTGATTATTAATAGTACAGTTAGTGACTACAGATAGTTTCACAGGATGCTTGGATCATGGTCACAAGATGCTTAGATATATTTTCTTTGTCTATCTCGCAAAAATATCTTGTTGGCAACAGCACGCAGACAGCATACATACAGTATTTGTCCTTTTGAGTCTGACTTATTTCATTTAGCATAACATTTTCAAGGTTCATCCATATCATAGCATGTATTGGAACTACATTTCTTTTATGGCTGGATAATGTTCCATTATATGTATAGGCCACATTTTGTTTATCCATTCCTCTGTTGATGGACATTTAAGTTGTTTCCACCTTTCGGCTATTGTGAAAAGTGCCGCAGTGAACATTGGTGTACAAGTATCTGAGTCTCTGCTATGAAAATAGGCAAAGAATACCCAAATAAGAACAAACAAAGGCTATTTATTTATTCCAAATTTGCTGTAGCCAGGGAGTCAGGCAGCTTCACTTGCATTTGGCAGAGACTCCCTGGCAGACAGAATGGAAAGCTTTATAGTGGAAAAAAAGGAAGTCTTCAGGTGTGCCCCGAGTAAAAGCTGTTGGCATGGGGGAGCTGCAGGTGGGCTAACTAGAAGAGACGCATTTTATAGAATTCGTTATGGGGCATATTTGGCTTTCTCTGGTTGGCCCTAGGTTGGAATCAGAGACAAAAATTAAGGAAGCTTTCAATTGTTAGTCAAGTCCTGGCCATCTCGGGTCCATTGCTACAGGAATTGTTGTTTGACTTCTTGGACTGGTAGCTGCAGATAGTGGTTTGACTTCCTGGAATGGATGCTGTAGATAGATATTAGCAAATGATGAAATTAATAATTGATTCTCCACAGAGCTCAGAAGACTTAAAGCTATTTAGCTAAGTTAGGAAAAATTGTTTTCCTTGTCCAGCAGGCAAAGCAGAACTGAGAGACATGGGCATCACTGCTAACGAGCACAAAGGGACTGAATGCTGGGAAACATGAAGCC